CCCATGGTCCCTTCTTTGCCCCCCATCCTCTGCCCCAGCCTGTGCGACCCCTGCTCGGGTCACCGGGTCTGGCTGCCCTCAGCCCGCTGGCCAGAACCGGCTGCTGCCAAGCTGGGCCAGGCCCCCCCGGCATCCAGGCCTGGGTCCCTATCCAGGTGAGGTCATGCCTGGACCCCTCCCACCCACTCATTACACATGCGGGGAAACTGAGGCACGTGCCGTATTCCTGCGAACCCGCAAGAAAATCCTCCATTCCGACACCCCCTGTCACAGCTGGGGATGGAACCCAGGAGCTCTGCCCCCCATCTCAGCCCCCTCCCTGCCAGCTCCGCGCCCTAGTAACTCTCCCGCCTCCTGCCCGGACAGTACCTGAGCTGCCTGACCACCTCCCGCTCCCTGACGGACAAACTGGCCTTCGACGTGGGCCTGCAGGAGGATGCCTCAGGTACTAGAATGCGGAGGTGGTTGTTTGGGGGTGTTACGGTAGCCCCAGGAGCCCAGCCTCCGGGCAGGACCCACTGCGCTAGGCTCTGTACTTGTGTCTGGCTATTAGGTGTCTTACGGTAGCCCCAGGAGCCCAGCCTCCGGGCAGGATCCACTGCGCTAGGCTCTGTACTTGTGTCTGGCTATTAGGTGTCTTACGGTAGCCCCAGGAGCCCAGCCTCCGGGCAGGATCCACTGCGCTAGGCTCTGTACTTGTGTCTGGCTATTAGGTGTCTTACGGTAGCCCCAGGAGCCCAGCCTCCGGGCAGGACCCACTGCGCTAGGCTCTGTGCATGTGTCTGGCTATTAGGTGTGTTACGGTAGTGCCCAAGAGCCAGCCACAGTCCCCATCGGGCCGGGCCGTTCTCATGGCTCTTAGTGCAGTGTATTACGGTAGCACCTGGGAGCTCCACCCATGGGTTGGGATTCTCTTGTGCATGGTGCTGCATGGACACTGCTGCCGGGGAAACTGAGGCACATGGGACTGGGCTCAAAGTAAAGAGCCGGAGGAGGAGAGGGGCTGCCCGTGCGCCCCCGTGGGGTGAGCCCTGGGGGGGCCCCGGTACAGTGAGTCCCACACTGGGTGCAGCCCAGTTCGCACCCCGGCAGCTGGGGCTCCAGGGCACGGTGTCCCCGTGCTCCCAGGGGGGCGGCGCACCCAGCCCTGTCTGTGCCCAGGGGAAGCCTGCTGGTGGACCATCCACCCCGCCTCCAAGCAGCGGTCGGAGGGCGAGAAGGTTCGAGTGGGGGACGACCTCATCCTAGTCAGCGTCTCCTCGGAGCGCTACCTGGTGAGTGGGGCTGTGCCCACGAGGGTGGGGGCGTGCCTGGGACTGTGCCTTTGCACGCGTGCAAGCCCCAGTGTAGGTGTGGATGTCCGTGGCTGCATGCCTGTGCAAGCCGGTGTGAGGTCGCACGCGTGTGCGTGTGCGGTCGCGTGGGCGTGTGCGGTCGCGTGTGCGTGTGCGGTCGCGTGGGCGTGTGCGGTCGCGTGTGCGTGTGCGGTCGCGTGGGCGTGTGCGGTCGCGTGTGCGTGTGCGGTCGCGTGGGCGTGTGCGGTCGCGTGTGCGTGTGCGGTCGCGTGGGCGTGTGCGGTCGCGTGTGCGTGTGCGGTCGCGTGGGCGTGTGCGGTCGCGTGTGCGTGTGCGGTCGCGTGGGCGTGTGCGGTCGCGTGTGCGTGTGCGGTCGCGTGGGCGTGTGCGGTCGCGTGTGCGTGTGCGGTCGCGTGGGCGTGTGCGGTCGCGTGTGCGTGTGCGGTCGCGTGGGCGTGTGCGGTCGCGTGTGCGTGTGCGGTCGCGTGGGCGTGTGCGGTCGCGTGTGCGTGTGCGGTCGCGTGGGCGTGTGCGGTCGCGTGTGCGTGTGCGGTCGCGTGGGCGTGTGCGGTCGCGTGTGCGTGTGCGGTCGCGTGGGCGTGTGCGGTCGCGTGTGCGTGTGCGGTCGCGTGGGCGTGTGCGGTCGCGTGTGCGTGTGCGGTCGCGTGGGCGTGTGCGGTCGCGTGTGCGTGTGCGGTCGCGTGGGCGTGTGCGGTCGCGTGTGCGTGTGCGGTCGCGTGGGCGTGTGCGGTCGCGTGTGCGTGTGCGGTCGCGTGGGCGTGTGCGGTCGCGTGTGCGTGTGCGGTCGCGTGGGCGTGTGCGGTCGCGTGTGCGTGTGCGGTCGCGTGGGCGTGTGCGGTCGCGTGTGCGTGTGCGGTCGCGTGGGCGTGTGCGGTCGCGTGTGCGTGTGCGGTCGCGTGGGCGTGTGCGGTCGCGTGTGCGTGTGCGGTCGCGTGGGCGTGTGCGGTCGCGTGTGCGTGTGCGGTCGCGTGGGCGTGTGCGGTCGCGTGTGCGTGTGCGGTCGCGTGGGCGTGTGCGGTCGCGTGTGCGTGTGCGGTCGCGTGGGCGTGTGCGGTCGCGTGTGCGTGTGCGGTCGCGTGGGCGTGTGCGGTCGCGTGTGCGTGTGCGGTCGCGTGGGCGTGTGCGGTCGCGTGTGCGTGTGCGGTCGCGTGGGCGTGTGCGGTCGCGTGTGCGTGTGCGGTCGCGTGGGCGTGTGCGGTCGCGTGTGCGTGTGCGGTCGTGTGTGCGTGTGCGTGTGAGGTCGCACGCGTGTGTGTGTGAGGTCGCGTGTGCGTGTGAGTGTGAGGTCGCACTGGTGCAGGTGTTGCAAAGTGTCCCCCGGCCCCTCGGCTGACCCCCCGTCTCGCTCTCCCACCAGCACCTCTCCACGGCCAGCGGGGACCTGCAGGCTGACGCCTCCTTCATGCAGACTCTCTGGAACATGAACAAAGTGTCCCGCCCCTCGGCTGACCCCCCGTCTCGCTCTCCCACCAGCACCTCTCCACGGCCAGCGGGGACCTGCAGGCTGACGCCTCCTTCATGCAGACTCTCTGGAACATGACCCCCATCTGCTCAGGCTGCGAGGAAGGTCAGCGCCCCCCCCCACCACT